AAAAAACAAGATCACCATATATAACATGTATTCAACTATTTACAAATTAAAGAGACTCATACTTAGTGTCAAACAAAATGTTGTGCCTGATTCACACTTTTTATTCATGTACATCCTTAAATTTTTAGTCAAACTTCTTTCCCTGTTTTTTCTTAATTATTTTGTTCACATCAACATATCTGTTTTAAGTGGACTTTCCATGATGGTATATGAAGACATTTTTATTTGAAAACACACTGTGTTTCAGAGGAACAACTTGTTGTCCATTTACCTGATAACAGGTCAAAGGGTAAAAGTCAACCAAGTCATTTATGTTAATACACAAAATGCTTGAAGTCTGTTTTGTCACTGAAACAGATGGTAATCAGGATGATAGACAGCTGTTGTACATCCATAACACAATACACATCAGTTTCATTTTGAATCAGAATTAAAACCAGCTCTCCAAACTCCATATACTCATCATTCTTTGAAACCAAGAAATGCCCCTTTTTATAAAACTGTTCCTTATATTGTATCTCTGTGGAAATACTTGTGTCTTTTCAGAAAATCCAGGTCTTTACTGCGTGTTTTATTTCATCACTGTAGAGGCTTGAGTAAAAAACACAAACTGTCCTTGACCAGCAGCAGCTGATTGCATCTAGGGCCAGCTGAGATGTAAGCCTGAAACATCTGGTGTCTTTCTGATAGTGTCAAGCATATGTTTTTAAAATTTTTCAAAAATGCCTTGCACATCTTTTAAAGTAGACATGTTTACTCTCAAACGCATTGTCCACAACCTAATCAAAGGTCCAAATTTCAAAATTAGGGCTGGATAGTGCCGCAAAAAATGATGTTTTGGTTTAAGTGAAGTTTCAGGAAATAAAGATTTCTTGATTCCAAATATTCTTGGATTATTATTTCAAGAAAGGCAACCTGTGGCAAAGAAATTTGTTGTGCACAAATCAAATCCACAATGTCTTTGAGCTGGAGCGTTGTCTGCCAAACATTATCTTGTGGATTTTGTATCTTGTCACCAATAATCACTGGCAACAATCTCAGCAAGTTCCAGTTTGAAACAGCTTGACCTGAAAGCCTGATTGCCTCAGAGTTGACAGGCATGGCTTTGTGAGAGCATCTGATCCTTTGTACTTGAATTGCTTGATTCTACGGTTGAACTGGGAATATGTAAACCATTTCCTTGTTTTAACGAAATATTTCAAGTACAGTGCAAGATCATAGGATACGACACCTCAAATAAGTCATGGCCTAAGCAAGGTGGAAGACCCAGGTTGGCAAACATGAAAAGACTTTAGTGAGTTGAAGTCAGAGTTTACCTTGACACCTTTGTTGTCTTGAATGCTTCCAATCTCTCGATGATGCACTGCCAAATTGTAAGCTGCAGGGGTTCGCTGTGGACCACAAGCATTTGGATCATAAGAAAGTCTTTCTTGTGATTTCACAGTATCTACAAAGTACTGAGAAGTACTAAAGTTTTCAGTAAACCCACCAATGCTGTGTGATCCTAAATTGTCACCAGCAATACAGAACAGTGCTCCTTTGACTGTTCTTCACCTGCAATAATGCCATGTTCCTCTAAATCTCTCAAATCCATGAGAAGTTCAGAGCAAAAACCTTTGCAGTTCCAAACTGTTTTAAATCGTTCTCGAAACACAATGAAACTAGAGACATGTGATCAGTGCTTGACCGCACATGAGCAGGTAAGTTAGCCACAGATAGATAAATAGCGACAAACTTGTGTTTTCTTTGCTGAACCAAGGGGGTTAACAATTTCAAAGGCATCTTGGTAGAGAATAAGCTTCAGGCACCCAGGATTTTCAATGAAGAACTGGTTGCACTTGAAGTTTTGGCCATCACTTATGTCACAGAAAAAATCCGGGGTGAGTCATTGGACTGTTCCAACACTGAATTCTTCCATAAGTCTGATTCTAAAAGTGCACTTAGTGTCTGTTTAATGGGTATGTAGTAAGAAAATCTCTGGGTCATGTTTTCATCACTTCCTAAAGATATTTGCTTTGGTTCTGTGTATTTGAACATGTTTTTGAAAGTCTGAGTTCTTGAATAGTTGTTCTCAGTGGCCCATGATGACAAACAGAAAATAAATCAGAATCTCTACACAATCACAGATTTTAGCAACAGCATCATCTACAAGACACATGTCTTTTAAAAGCGACTTTAGTTTAGTTAAAGTGTAATCCATTCCCAGCTCATGCACATTTTGCATCTCTTCAACGATGTTCTGTATCGGAAGCTGGAAGAAGCAGCTGTCCTTGAAGTTTCAGGTAGAAAAGACCCAAGTTTCTGAGATAATCCTTGTTGAAATTTGGAGATAATTCGTGACTTTCATTAGTCAGAGCATCATTAAAGCTCTCAGAAGGCCCATCGTTTTCTGATAGACTAACGATCTTATTGTAGTTTCCTTGTACAAAACATCAATGTCATCCACAAAAATATCTCTATGTTTACGGGACATATGAGCTGTGAATGATGATTTGACGCTGAAAACTTTTTGCAGGCTTTTACTGGACATGCTACAGGCCGCCCCTCCATTATATGCTCCTTCAAATGAGCAACGAATTCTTTCACAGTTTGGCTTTGGTGCCCACACAATGAAATGTGCATTTCAATTTAGCAACAATGGCTTTAGCTGATTTGGGTTGTGAAGCCACATTGTGAACTCGGTAAAAATGAGTTTTAAACGCTGCATATGTACAAAATGTCCGCTTACATTCTGTGCCGAGGCATTTGAATACACAACTGGGCTCGTTTCTGTGCACTCTGCAATGCAACACATAGCCCCTCAATGATTCTAGTGTTTTACAGCAAAACGTACATGTAATCATGTTTAAACAATTCAACCTATCTAACAAGTTACACATGTTGCAGGTGTAGCAAAAAATTATTCTACTGCATATTGTTCCAAGAAGCAATATGACGCCTAAAAAACAACAACAAAAAAAAAAAAACACAAATTACCGTGGCTTTTACGTTAGAAGAAAATAAAAGCTTAACTTACATTTGCTGAAAGCTGACGAGGTCCAAACAGCGTTCTTTCTTTGTCAAGGTTTGAGCACAATTCAGCTTCTTCTGAGATGAGAACCGTTGGACGAACTTTTTCAAAACAGCTTTCAGGCGCCAGGTAAGCGAACCAATTAGAGAGCAGGTAAGCGAACCAATTAGAGAGCAGAACAGACCGGAACTTGAGCACAAAGCGGTGATCTCTGTCTTTCTTGCAGTAGCCGAACTTTGAGCTTATAATGGCAACGTGTGAAGTAAAAAATCCAGTGTTAGCAAAAATAATAAATAAAAATAAATACATGTACCAATAAGCAAGTACATGAATTCTTTTTGATTCAGGTGTTTCCTCCACGTTAGTCGTGAAATATGAAGAAATTATCCAATCAAAATTGACAAATAATAAGTAAATGAATTAAAGAGGAAATGACAATCTAAAGAAGTGGGAAAACACAAGTGAATAGATAAATAGTGAACAAAATTGGAAGTAAATAATGTGGAATCATAATTACTTAATTCCACATTAATTTCCAAATCTATTAATTTATTCATTTATTTTATTGTCCATCTGGAGTTGGGTCACAGGGGCAACAGCTTAAAAAGGAAGCCCAAACTTACTTCTCCCTAGCAAAAAAAAGCTAAGCTAGCTTCCAATTCATTTGGATTTAATCATCACAGAAGTAAATGTTAGTTTTACACTGCTGAAATGTAAGAATGTTGTGAAGGATACAACTTTTTCATTAACAATAAAAAATGTGTATTTTCTACAACTAAATACAATATTATTTACAATTTTCTATTTTAAAATGTACAATAATTTTCGGTTCTACATTATACAATATCATACTGGTAAATGAACAAAATATTATTGTGTTTTTCTTTACAAAATTTTTCTGTCATGATTTCACAGATTTTTACTGTTGATTTTACAGACTTTTTACAGTGTAACATTCAGCTGTTCTAGAGGAAAATTCATTGGTATTTTATCGTATTATAGGGAGGATATTCAAATGGATGGAATAAACCAACACAAGTGCATTCATTTTTAAAACTATACAACCACAAAAAAAAAAAGAGTTGCAGCCTTAAATTCAAAGTTTCAAATTGACAAAATATGGGCGTGCTGTGTGCGACTGAAGGCCGCGTCAGGGGTTCGATTCCCAGACCCGACGATATTTGCTGCATGCCTTCCTCCCTCTCCTTACCCCTGTCCTGTCAGCCGACTTTCATATAAGGGACACTAGAGCCCAAAATAAACCCCTGGAGGTAAAAATAAAAAATAAAAATTAAATGATAAAATTTCCTGGTTTCAAATAAGAAGGTACATGATGTGATGCATGATGTGATGTATTTGGATAAGTTTTGTGTTCATACAGAATAAATTACATCAGATGCCGACAAAAACTATGCTCGTAAAATGTCGGTGTCAAAGAACAAAGACAGTTTTCATAGCAAGAAATTCTTTGCGCTGCATAGTCAAATAAAGAAATACATTTTAAAAACATTGATATTTCAGATTTACTTAAGATAAATAATGATTTTTCAGGGAAAAAAATTTAAAACACAGGAATGCATAGGACTAAACTATAGCTCTTAATTGCCTATAACAAAATACAGCTACAGGTTGCTTTAGGGCCTCCAGGTTAAGTTACAATTATAAATACTGAAATCTTTATGCACTTGTATAAAACTAATTACCAGAGGCTGCATATTTCAGAATATTTGTTGACATACAGAAAACTCAACACATTATCCGTATCCATTAAGCCAAAGCAAAGCTGACACTTTGTTGGACAATAGATTTCAGTGGCTACACTTGGCTGAGAATCTGAGAGCTTTGCAGTGCCAAAATTTTTTTTTTCTCAGATGCTGAATCATGCCCAGCTTTGCTTTTAAGCGATCACTTATTTACTGACAAATGTATGACAAATAACATCTCTTCTTTATAATAATTTTCACTAGCAAAGGAAGAGAGGCATACATACCTTTGATTGAAGCTGTTCTCCTTCCTATGACAGTGTAGTGTAACAACTCTATGACCCTCACTTCTGACATCCTGACTGACTGTCCACATAACTGGGTTACTGGCTCGAGCTCCCAGAAACACAACGCCATCCTTCATTTTGACTCTGAAACACACAAATTATTCAATGATGAAAAAGAAGACAGTGTGCTAGATTATTACATAAAATGTAATCAGAAACTTATACTTTTTTAACAAGCACTCTACTCCTCAGTGTAAGATATCTACACAAAACGGCTTTAAAGTTTTTGATACATTAGCCAATGCTAATGTTGCAAGGCCATAAATTTGCAAGGCCATAACAGGTTTCTAAAATACCCATTTAATCTAACAGAAGAAAGCTGGTAACTCTTTCGGGAATCCAGCACATGTCCTGTATTCTTCAAGCTCTCCTGAAGAGCCTCATCTCTCCAAAATTAGACTGACATTTTGAATAATTAAAACTTGAATCCAAAAGAAAATTTTCACTCGCAGCCACTTGTGAAAGGTTGCATTTGAACAGCAGCCTAAAAAAACAGTTCTGTCATATTGCTGTGAAGAGAAGACTTTGCATAAACTTCCTGTGACTTATAAATCACCATTGGCAAAAGGGTCACTTGTAGAATGCCATGTAAAACATTTTGTTGGATATCTTCTAATTTTGTTGTAGATCTTGATATTGTTTTATGGTAATCATGCTGTGGTTTTGCCCCAACTTTCTATACTGGTGCCACTACAGTCCATCATAGTGTTAAGGGAGAAAGCCAGCTGCTTTATCCATAGTGTGGATGGTTGCTGGGCAATTACTACCTCACTTGGTGATGCAGAGGTAAACCAGGGCAGGTCTAATCCAACCTCATTAACCCCAACATCCTGTTACAGACATGAGGTATGCATTGTCTCTCCAAGTTGTCTACAAAGGTCAAAAGTCTGGGTCTTCTCTCAGTATTTTTTTTTATTTAAATAAAAATGTCTTGTCTAGTTTTCAGCTCTGTCACTGTCAAACTATATGTTCAAAATAAAGATTCTGAAGTATCCATTTCTGCCAGGAGTAACATTGACAAGTAAATAAAGAAAAAAAAAAGGCTGCAGGAAGCACACACGCACATTTGTGGAGGGTAAACTTTAAAGTGATCATGATGCATTACGGTCAATAGTTTTACCTCAGCCTGTGAAAGTGGAAAAATGCCTCATGTAGATCCTAATGACAAGAGATCCCTCAAAGTCTCAAGCCTCGTTTGGAATGCTGAAGCATGACTAAGCCCATAAACCATTTTTATTATTAACAGTTATGAAACATAGCAGAAAAAAAGATGAATCATTAGCTGCGTAAAATAGGATTCAGGATTAGCAAGCTTAAACCAATTAAGAATCATTTTGTAGTCAGAAACATTTTGAATATACTTCACTATACCTTAAACCTGAGAGTAATGTAATGGCAGAAAGGTAATTGTCTTCCTGCACCTGGGATTTGTAAAACACTTCAATTTCTGCACCACCTGCCCAAGCCTTTTTTTATCCTGCTATCATTTCCATTATTCATGGTCACAGTATGTAGGCAGATATACAAATGCTGTAAAAAGTATGACCTGCTTCCTTTTCTGTTTACTGGTATAGCTCTCCTTATCTTCTATTGTCACATTAAATTATCATAAAGTAAAACAGCTTCTTTTTCTTTTTATTTTGCCTTCACAACTTCTTCAAACTCTTAAACCACAGCAATACATGAAGGCAAGTTAGAAGGCAAAACCTGGTGCAAAACAGAACAAAAAAACTCAGACTTTTCATCTAACTCCATTATGAATACGGTGAACCCTCGCTATAATACGATTCACCTTTCACGGCCTCGCTGCTTCGCAGATTTTTTTGTGCAGTTTTTTTTTCCACAGTGCATTGTGTTCTGCGTCCTGATTGGCTAAACAGTATCTGTGCTTCTTCTCTAAACACTGTAATGTGCCAATAAAGTTACAGTATTTAAATATACGTAGTACAGCTTGGCAAATTTTGGCAAATATTTTTTGCCTAGAAGAAAAAAAAGAGTAACAACTACCAATAACTATGTTCTTCTCTTGAAAAAGAACACACCTACACCACAGGCTTCAGAAGAAAAAGACACTGCAGAGCGGAGTCAGGCCACAGCGTCATAGTCAGAGAACAGTGAAATATGCGGGTCACAATTGCTCCTACTGTACTTCGTACTGATGATTAAAATTATTATTTTACTGTAGTTATTTGTAAGAAAGCGTTATATTTGTTTTAAAAAGTGCTTGGGCCTGAAAAGTTTTGTTAATGGTTTCAATGTAGAGCATTTAATTATGCTGTATGATAATAGTAAAAAAATAAAGATAACTACTTCACGGATTTTGCCTATCACAGGTTCTTTTTGACCCCCACAAAAAATGAGGGTTCACTGTATCGGGTCTACTTCGTTTTGGATCTGCTAAATAGTTTAAAAAGATGAATACAAAAGGGTAGATAATGACATGACAGTCCATGCAGCAGTGCTTAGAGGAATACAGTCATTACCTTGTCTAAGTTCAACAAGTAACCTTTGATCTTATCCAATCTCTGCAACAGTAATAACTGTCCTTAGGATGAGAGTAAAAGGGCATTGGTGTGGTAACTGAACTCAGTAACGAAGGGAGGCGACTGATTGCTCTTTTGCTTACTGTTTTCAGGTTGTCACCTTATCCAAAGCACATAAATGACTGCAATCATATAAACGACATTCAAACTGGCAAACAGGGAACCAGGAAGACCATCTTCCAACTGAGGCTGGTTACAAATACCACAATAGTGTAGCAAGAACATGGAGAAAAGGGTTATTTTCCTAGATTTACTTAGGAGATGCACTCTGTTGCACAGACATGATCACTCAATGGTGCCACGGTAAAGATTACAATACACAACAATAGTTTACTTTTTTCCCCCTATTCCTTAAAAGAGAGGAAAATGAACAAATCAAAAACTATCATACTGGCTAGTAGAGCTCCAAGATTGCAAAATGTTTAGTCTTAAGTATCCAAGAGCATTATTACAAAAGATTTGCTATATTTTTAGTAGAATAATGAAGGACACTTTTTGGTGCCAAAGCACTGGCTTTAATGTGCTGTCTGTGGTTTACTATATGCAAATCTATGGGCTCAAATAAGTATCATGTTTCATATTTAAGATTTGAAGTGCTTGTTGCAAATTAGGGGCATTCCTAGCCTATTTGGTCCATCCATGTCAAAAACTATTACTGTTACCAATTTCAGAATTTATTCTGAAATCTGTTTTTAAAGGCAATTTACTTATTATTACCGCAATACATTTTACATTATTAAAACTGCACAGTTGTTAAGGATGGTCTAAAGAAAAGAATGGCTAAAATATCTTCACTTGTCAAACATTGTATGGCTAATTTTATTAAGTAGAAACAGAGCCAATATGTTTTATTCATTATGTTGTTTTATATAGAGTTTTAAAATCTATTTCAGTATTGTCTTCAATTAAATCATTACTTTAAAACTAAGGTAATGCAGACACAATCCTGCTAAAGTCAGTAACACACTGTGAAAAGGACAAAACAAATCTTGTACTGATCTACTCAACAATTTTCAGGGATGTGTGAAAAATGGAGTTGTAATAGTAAATGTAGTTGCTAAACCTAGCTAACAAGGATCAATAAGTTACATTTCAGCTTCTGTGTCATTTCTTTTTTCCCTACTCTACCCCAATAAAAAAAATATGGATTAGTTACATTAAGATAATACCACAATTATCCCAAAGCCTGTCTCTATCTGTCAATGTGTAAGAGGCAAGCTACCCCAATAGGTCGCCAGTTCATTACAGGGCACGTTTAGATAATGTTTTGTGATAATACTTGGCATTTCAGAATAAATTTCCATTTAATCAGTTACTTAAATACATAGATGAATTGACCCACAATGAGTTTTAATGAAGCAGTTTTGAAATGCATGATCGGGTTCATTCCTTCTACCCCTCATGCAGTGCGTCACAAACATTCTAGCATGTGACACTATATTGAGCAGTGGGGCTAAATTAACTGACAAATCATGAATGAGATTGGTTTGGTTAATGTGATTTTTGGTAAGGGAGGGAAATCACTGGAGTTAGAAGATGCAACAATAAGGGAAAGCAATTTGAAAGAAGGCTCACTTTCACGTGCATCAGCACATAAAGTTGCCTCATGAATTCTGCGAAAACCTCTATCTGTAAAATGAGTATTTACAGAAGAAGCAAAAGACCATTTTAAACTCCCCGTTATATACCTGATTGACTTCTAGAAACAACACTGGCAGAGGAAAAAACAACACTCCCTTCTTTCCAAGCTCCCTCATGAATGTTGAAATATTAGTTTATTGACATATTTTAAATGAGGAATGCAGTGATGTCTGTTATGTTGAGCAATTTGAACGACATGCTGTGATATTAGGTTTTGAGAGTCCAAGGCAATGTCTGACACAAAAACAAATCTTTGTTACAGTTTCATAGTGTGGGACCCAAGTGACAGCATGCAGATTGAAAGTTCAGGAAGACATGGAGAATCTTTATCAATCCGAGGTACAAAGAATAAAAAAGCAGGGCAACTTAACCACATCCATGCCCATGGCAAAAATCAGAGATGGATTTGAGCAGTATATATACTGATCCTGTCCTCATCATGACAGTCACTAGAAGGGAGAGGAGATTTATTTGGAAGTAAGTAAACAATATGTCTTGAATATCCATTTGGTAGAAGCAGGAAAAATTGGCAAGCATAAGGATTTGAGAGCATTTGAAAGGGGCTAAATTGTGATTGCAAGACAAATGGGTCAAACAATCTCCAAGACTGTTTAGTACCTGTTTGATGGTTTGCAGCAGTTAGGGAGTAATTGATCCAAACTTGCCCAAAAAAGAAACAAAGATGAACAAATAGAGTTATTATTATTATTATTATTATTATTATTATTGCATGTTCATTGTGGTATGGAGGAGCTAATCGGTGTCCCAAATGAGTTCATCTCACAAACAGACTTGAATGGCTCATACTGCTGAAAAACTTAATGCTGATCTCAGCATTAAGTTCCAACTTAATGCTGAAACAAGAACAAACGCTGATAAAAAGGTGTTTGGTCAGTATGG